CGAAAACCAAAAACACACCATCAAAAACGATTTTTTTTATAAGAAGTTTTGCTCGAAAGAAAATGCTAAGTTCAAATTGAAAAGATGTTTCAGTGAGTCGTATAACGTTTGAGCTTTCCCTCAAGGTACACAGCCTCAGCTAAAAGAAAAGCTCGACAAAGAAATTCATCAAAAATAAACTTGGTCTTTCTAGAGTGGGACACAGGGCTGACAGGTTTTAACTTGTATAGAGAGGTACGTATGCCAAACAGGTTTGATTGCTAACTGAGGCTGGAGGTTCAAGTTCACCCAGAGGTGCCTCCAAAGAAAGGCCTGGCACCCTACTTCCCTTGAAAATCCTATGAAGCACAGTTCTCCTCTGGCACACCTAGGTCACCATGAGTTGGAGTCCACTCAACAGCAACTGGCTGTCATTTTTATGGTTATTGTGTCTTGGAATCACGTGAGATCTCTATTTCCCCAAGACACTAAAACATGGCCATGTCAGGTAACGGGGGTCAGAATGGCCATGGGCGGTAACACATGCCATTCCTTTCTACAGGGGAGATGGGCACTTGTACCCCACTTCAGCCAGCCTCTTCACTTAATGGAAGCTCTTCCATGAGAAGATGAAATCTTTCAGCTACCCAACACCCACAGCTGCTTGATTACATAAAAGTCAACATGAAAGACTAGATTTTTGGTTTAGCCTACATATCTTTGGTTTACTCTACATAATAAAGCTCATATGAACAGTTTCCTGGAGGCCAGGAAATCCTTTTGAGAACTGGTTTCCTCCCATGTAGCCCTCTCTCTATCATTGTAAAATGTTATTTTTACAAAGACAACAATTTGAAGCTTTAATATACATGAAAGTCACACCTGCTCCTCCAACTTTCGTGTAATGACTATGAAACTGGGGAAATGCAAATTCACAGAGAGCCGTGTGGTTTTCCTTGTTACTAAAACTAGCCATCGGTCAAAACTATTCTCCACCGTTCCACCACTGTAGTTTTCTAAAAATGAAGTATAGTAGCACTTAGGCAACAAGTGGATTCCTGACTGGTAGAGATTTTCACAGAGACTGAGAGAGCACACAGCTGCCCTGGGAAACAATGCCCTTGGGCAGCACGCCCTGCACCAACCATCAGCAGCATTCACAGCAATCAACACTCACTGGGCCCAGTGAAACAGTACCACATAAACTCTGATCTGTAAAGCCACCCTCCTGTGGTATGTGACGGCAGCACTAAGAAACTAAGACACCTAGTCATCCCCTTACTCAGAGAGGGGCAGTGAGACATGAAGAGTATTGCCCGATAGGACAGGGTAGCACAGCCCCTGTGAGTTTTCGAGACTAACTCTTTAGAGGAGTAGAAAGCCTCATCTCTCACCCTCAGAGCAGCTGGTGGTTTCAAACTGCCAACCTTGCGGATAGCAGCCTAATGCATTACCACTATGCCACCTGGGCTCCTTAAGAACAGTATTTAGAGAACTGAATTCTATCACCCACAAAGCCAACTCAGGCCTTGCAGAGGGAGGAAAGAGAGAAGCTTCACATGATGATGTGGCATAGAGACTGGGAGGTAGCTGTGGGTGGTGGAGGTAGGCACTGGTCCTCAGGGACAGTGAGGAGGAGACCCAGAGCCTTTGTGCACTGAATGTTCTGACCAAGAGTCAATTTTTGATGCCACAAAATCACCGCCCATTGCATTACATGTGAACCTGGCAACATAGGTATGTTCAGAAACAAAAAGTGTGTATCCCTTGGCCAAGAGCTGAATGAACTACAAATGCCCCAAAGACTGACTTTGTTGCTAGACAAAGGAGGTGGCATGGACGCAACAAAGCCAGGTTGCCACTGGGTGGTCAGTGCTGAAGCCAGGTGGTGGGGCTCACTCCCTATTGTCTTCTATGTGTGCATGCTTGAGGATTTCCATGCGAAACTGCTCCTTAAGGGGTCATCTTAACTTACAGTATAAGCGAGCTCTAAATAAGTCCAAACGTGCTTTACAATGGCAGCCTCATTCCTCCCCTGAACCGGCCTCAAATGCTTCTTCTTGGTTACTCACCGTAGGCTCCTCATTCAGCGTCTGCAGCATCCAGGTCTCCAGCGTCTGGAAGTCCCGGGGACCCTGGTACTTCACAGCTTCCTGGCCAGGCTTGAAAAACTTTAAGCTACAAGAGCAACAAGGGATTAGATAGAACAATGCCTTAGAGCACTCCAAACTGCTCTGGGCTGACAGCACTTATCTCATCAGGGAGCAAACTCTTTTAAAGAAGCTACCAGTCAATGAGTTATAAATAAATGGGCTATGCAGCCAGTCGCCCATCTTCCAAGTCTCTAATAATTAAACTGGAAAAGGAAATGAAAGCAATGTTCTGGGAGAGAATATGTTCACTTGATCCTAAACAATGGAACGTTTCTGAGCTTACTGAAAAAACAAAACAAAACTGAAGCAAAAGCATCAAACCCAATGCTGTGGACGAAGTGCCATACTGCAAACGCTCATTTCTCCTTGGTAGAACTTCCACGCTTTTCTGCCACTGCGATCCTGTCTGGACTTCAGTAGCTTGCTTGTTTTTTGGTTTGTTTTGTTTTTTCCTTGGTGGGTTTGTTTTTAAGTTAAAAATGTAATAAATATACCACTTTTCTAGTAAATGTTACGCTAATTCAACAGGTATGGGATGCTTCCTAAGCATGAGGACTAACGTGCAGTTGATGTAAGCCGTGATCTTTTTAATCACTTCACATACATCCAGAAACTAAACAACGAATAAAGAAGAACAGAAAGGAATGGGTGTGTCTGATTGTGATGTTGATGAAGAAGACCAAATACACAGTGGACTGACAGAAGAATGACCCGCTCTGTCTTGGAAGAAGGGCAGCTGGAATGCTCTTGGAAGTGAGGATGGCAAGGCTTTGACTCGCGCTCTGTGGACATGCGATCGGAAGAGAACAGGACCTGGAGGACACAGGGCTCGATAGAGGGGCGATGAACAAGAAGAAGACCCTCAAAGAGATGGACTGACAGGATGGCTACAACAATGGGCTCAAACGTCACAACTATGAGCACGGCTCGGACCGGCAGTGCTTCTTCGGGTCGGACTGGGGCCACTTCTGAGTAGCTGACTCAAGGGTACGCAACAGCAACAAGGCATGAATATCCAGTTACTGTGAGACTGATGCTCCATCCATCACCTCCCTGCAGAGACAGCATCGTTCCCGCTGTCTAAGTGCATCGGCCTTCCAAGAAACTGGCAGCTGGCTACAGGAGCGGCTCCTCTCGGGGAGTGCGAGAGACGTTGGGAGTGGAAGGAATACTGCCAGTTCTGGAACCATCACATCGATAACAGGAAAACAGGCGCTACACAAACCTAATAGAAGGTGTCACAGATAAGGAAAATAAAGGAGGTGGGGCGGGGGGCTGATCCAAACTACCATCTCTTCGCAAGTTCATCCAACACATCCCTACCATCCCCTTTCCACAGTGTGAATGTGGATTTTGTTAGATGCCAAAGGCACATCAAGACTGATAAGAAGCCAAGATTTGCGGAAACCAGAACTCTGGGCTTGAAGAACTGACGATTGCTAACTACCCGGTGGTCAGACTGGGCGTGTAAGCTGGAGTGCATGGGCCTTGCACAGCACACGGCACAGCAGCGTGAGGGGCTTAGGTGACATCCTGATGTGCCAGCATGAAGGATACAGGTATGCTCAATTTCCTCAGTAGCTTATGTTTTTGAAAACTGGAACCAAAAGCTAAACTCTAATAGATTTTGTCAGCACTTCATGAAGTTTAACATTTTAGGCACCCCAAAGTTTGACCTCACCTATTCCAGGGACCACCCAGAGCTCTAGGAATACCTGTGACCCCTGTAAGACAAACCAAACCCACCACTGTTGAGCTGATTCCAACTCACAGTGACCCTATAGAAGAGAGTACAACAACGCCATAGGGTTTCCTAGGCTTTAATCTTTAGGCTGTACACTGCCTGACTCTCCTACGGAAGAGCTGGTCAGTGCAAACTTGCTGACCTTTCAAGTAGCCGCTGAGCACTTCGCTGAGCTCCTATAAGTGCATCTCCCCTGCCCACCCCCACCTCTCAGTTGGACTTACTAACTAAACTTCACCTCCTCTCTTTTCCAATTCCCTTCCTCCAACCAAAAGGCTTCAAGATGGAAAAGCGGTTAATAAAGCATCAGAAAGCCACAGGTAGTCAATGCTGAGCTGAAGTTCATAAAATGCCTCATCTCTAATTTTCCTAAGTTGGCAGGCATTAGGCAAAACAAAACATTTTAAAATCCCCTTCTGACTGGTGGATTGAAAAACCTTACAATCCTGCCCAAGTCCGGGATCCTTCCTAAGCTCACCGCTCTCAAGGTGGAGGTGGGCTCAGCCTGCACTGGGCAGAGCCACGCAACCTGTCAGTCACCCAACTGTCCTCCTCCTTGCAGGCAAACAATCAGGAGGAGGAGTGAGGCTGCTGGGGCCCAGCCTGAGCAACCGCCCCAAGTGCCCTGCTATTACCAACCTCCCTGGGGCACTCGGTTCCCAGGTGCTTTGTCTCCCTCCTGCAGAAGGACTGCATGGGTGAAAGGCCTCATGCTTGGGTCATTCTGGGCAACAGTGTGCTGAAGGGCTGGGTACATTCTACTATTATCGATGGCTTCCCCCCTTCAGCCCTGCACCCTTGTGGGGCTTCCCAGACGTAAGGATTCTTTAGTCTCAGAGTGCTGTGCAAGTTGGCAGTTCAAATCTACCCAGGGGCACACTGCAGGTAGGTCTGACAAACTGCCTCTCAAGAGGCCCTAATCATGAAACACCAGTGCACTCCAGTTGTACTCTGACGTTGGAACAGGGAATTTCACCTCTAAGGACTAGAACTGGCATCATGGCACCAAGTTTACAACACCAGAAGCTCCAAGGACCCTGATGGAAATGCTCATTTGAAACAGGAAGGCGGATGTGGTGAAGAAAGCTGATGGTGCCCGGCTATCAAAAGATATAGCGACTGGGGTCTTAAAGGCTTGTAGGCAAACAAGCAGCCATCTAGCTGGGAAATAACAAAGTCCACAGAGAAGAAGCACACAAGCCTGTGCGAACAAGAGGTGTTGAAGGGAACAGGCAGCAGACACCAAAGAACAAAAACCATCATTGTGTGACCACCTTCC